AAGCTTGAGAGCTATTGAGGAAAATGTCGGAAGTTTTTCCACAATAAATTGCAAGATTGTTAATTTAACATTCTCAAAACCCACTTAGACACAGAAACGCGTCTAATCCTGGATGGAAAAATTAATTATACAATGTAAAGCATTTGCATAATTAATATTCAAAGACAGAAAAAGTGGTCGATAAACATGCCAGTTTGCGGATCTGCTCGATATTGACTAGTTTGAACCGTTCAGCTGATAAATTGCGTTAACCGGCGGGCATTTGCATGTCGTATTTAATCGGATGCATTAAAAATGAAGCAAATAGGAGGATTTTCGGTCGAAATTATTCAAAAAGATCTCGTTAAAAAGGGAGCCGGGAATCGGGGCCAATAAATTTCCGCAACTGGTCAGCAAATCTTGATGAACGTCTTCATTTACTGTTCGTTCGACGACTTAAGAACAATCATTATCGGTGGGCGTCGCATGGCCAGTTTGGCCGCACGAAGCCCTTTAATTGGCCTCTTCAATAATGGGGGCAATTTCACCTAAACACTATCGACATTTTCCGCATGAAATCGCGATTGCGAAACGCGCCAACCGAAAACCCATTAAAGTGGCGCAACCGTTTGATTCAGGGCTTTTAATTAATATCAATAATCTTTTGTAATTCCGAATAAAATAAACAGAAACCTTTTAATAACATTGCCGGCCGTAAAATGTTACCATACATTTGCATTGGCCAATCGGCGTATAAATCGCGCCAGTTAACGATCCAAAACGCTGTTATATAACGCCAACATTCTAGAACTACGGCCTGCTGGGCCAAAGTTTTTCAAAAATCCTCTAGATCTAGATGGAAAATCCCGGGCATTGTGCGTGGATAATTGATGGCATATTAACGATCCGTCCTCGAACCAACATCGTTCTAATCTAGAGAAGTGCCAATCATTCCACCCAAACGCTTTCCTGCCATAATTTAATAAATTTGTTTCTTCCATCTATAGGTTATTGACGATTTCCGTTAAGGTGTAATAATACTACAATTACTCGAGATTCTAATTAAGATTATCATTTTTTTAATTTGCCCCTAACACGGACCCAAAATGCCGCGATGGATTTTGAGCATTTGATTAATTAGTCAATGTACCGTATAAAGCCAGTTTTAACTGGTGTTTTAATAAAATGTTTCATGACAATGCAACTTAACTAAGCTTTAGTGCACCCTTTGCTGATGAAAATCGCACTAAAATCTACTCGCTGCTTTAACAAGTTTTCAATAATCAGTTTTTGGAAACAGAGTTGCTGGAGTCAATAAAGTCGATTTTACTGTTTCAGGGACAAGTTTTCAAAAATTGCCAGAAATTATCCAATTTCCCCAATCAAATGGAACTCAACCGAGCTGATGTGCAAGATTTTCTCTTTGAAATTGCGCAAAAACTAGCTGGGCAACTCAGTTGGTTTTGGCAAAATTAATTTTTGTACACCGAGAAGTGTAGTTTAACCAGTTTCGTTGCAATGAATTTTTGCTAATCTACAGAAAGTAGAAACTTGAAAATTCCACAACAAATAGCAAATTCCTGAGTGCAACTTTTTGCAGGGCAGAGGATGGCCCAGAAATATATACGCTCTCTGCTTAAAAAAATTCATCAGTGCTAATCAAGAGAAAATGAAAACTTCAAAGTTAATCAAAGTATTGTATATACAGCTAACATGTTAAACTCTTGCGTCTCAAATTGTGAAGATTTCATCGATAATGCAAGAAAGTTCTACTTTTTCCTGCTGGCTAATAGCTGGATAAACGTTAGCGTTTCTTTAAACTACTGGAACTTTCATGCGATTTTTAACTACTGAATAGACGATAGTCTAAAAATCAATACGCGCTCTGTTGAAAAAAATTGTCAGTGCAAATGTAGAGCAAGTAAACATTGAAGAGTTTCACGAAGCATTGCAAACCTTTCCTTCTCACTACTCTGCAAGTTTTATGAAAATCTCACGAAAAGTTATTTTTTCCTGCAGGGTCAAATTTGGGCTACACATAAACGTTCACTCATTAATGCGCGCTGTGTCAAAAAAAATTGTAGGTGCTAATGTGTAGCAAGGAGACACCTCAAAGCTTCAACGAATTTAGCAGATACTTCAGCTTAAAACTCTTAAATATTTTTGGGCAATCGCCGGAAATCCTAATTTCTTACTGCTGGGTAAACCATAGTCCAATAATAAATACGAGCTGTGTTTAAAAACAGTGTCAGTGTTAAACTAAAACAAGTAGAAACTTGCCTTGCAAATTGTTTTATGAAAATCACAAAAATTCTTGATTTTTGGTGCGGGGAAAACGCACACATCATAAATAAGCGCTCTGCTTAAAAAAATCCTARGTGCTAATTGAGAGCAACCGGAAACTTGAAAATCTTACAAGAGAAGGTATATAGTTTAGTCCAAAACCCTTGAAAATCTAGTAGAAATCTCTAGTACCTACTCCTGATTTTTGCTGCTGGGTAAGCGATGGTATAAAAATCGTCAATACCAATCTAGAACAAATAGAAACTTGATAGTTTCACAAAGCATTGTAGACAATTTCGTTTCAAAACTTTGAGATTTTTTGCAAAATTTTTCATTTACACGAAACAAAAGATTTCATGTCCACTACGCCGCAAATATTGGTCAAATTTTAAATCCATCTAGGAGTAATATCAAGTAGCCCAGATCGAAAAAGAGTATACGGCTTTATAGCATCATGTGTTCTGAGTAATCTGGATCTTTAGTTGTCTGTTCTCTTTTAAAAAAAGTGATCAAACAAAATCTAGATTTTTCTTGCGGGGCAAGCACTGGGTAAAAATGAACGTCTTCACATAAATACGCGCTCTGTCGCTGAATAAATCTATAGCTGYTAAACTACAGCAAGTAGAAACTCGAAAATTCGACAACAAATAGCAAATTATCGCTGGGTAAAGGATGGTCTAGAAACAAATACGATCTTTTCTTAACAAAAAAWTTCTTAAAAGAATCATCAGAGCTAATCTAGACAAAATGRAAACTTAGGACTTAATCAAAGTATTGTGTCTACCTACARCAAACATGTTAAAATCYTAAAACTAACTTYGAAATGAGCTAAAGTGAGACACAGACTTTAAATGTTGSCAAAATTCACACAAACTTGATMCGGAACTTTTTCTGCACAATTTATCCACAATTAACGGTGTGGAAGAAACAGTTTCTTAGCAATCATATTTTGCAGAACTGGTCAACGACAAATTCAGATGTTGCAGATACTGCCAACCGAAACATCGTCAGGAAAAACCATTTTTTCTGCTCTCTTCTGCTCGTCTGTCTGCGTTTCTTTAACTGTACATTTTTTTTCTTGGAACACTCTCGACTATCGATAAACAATCGTTTTTTTCTCTCGCATGCTTCGCTAATTTTCCAACATGGCAGAGTTGGGCACGAGCGATCGTGACAAACGGTCGCAAAAAAAATGACCCCAGCAAAGAATCACTTGTTGGCAGATTAAATCACCGTAAAGTCAATTAGTTGTAATGGCGAATAATTCACTTTATGGGCCAACTTTTCAATGTTCACGGATCATTTGGCCAGCGGCTATTGGTCGCGCTCCAATTCATCCAGACGAATCTTAGATGGATTTTTTGACTATTATAAATGCCGCTCTTTTCTACGTGATATTTACGATGTGTTGGAGGCGATATGTGAAGACACTTTTAGGCTTTTCTGGGTCAAAGACTGCTTTTTGCCTTAAAAAACGTAAAATTTGTGCCAATTTATCGTCAAAATCAATAAATTAACTAGTTTACGTTTGAAAATTCCTCCAAAATTGCCTGATGATCACTCAACTTTTAAACTACTGGCATTAATAGCACCGACTTTCCTCTACAAAACGCAAAAAGGCGCAAAATTCTGGTTCCCTGGGTTTATGAGATATGGGCTTTCGAAGCGAGTTGCTACCACTTTCCGGGTGCCCGCCACCAAGAAAAATAAATGTAAAGTTTACGGAAAAATTTGACATTTCTTCCAAGCAGCAAAGAATTCCTATTTGTTTCAAGGTTCGCACCATATAAAACCAAAGTTCTTTAAAAATCCCCAGTTGGACAATAGAAACTGACTAACTTTGCTCATTTTTCAAAATTCGTTGAACATTTTTTTTAGTCCCAAAATGTGAGAAAAATGAACCTTTTGATTGCAACAATCGTACGCAAACGTTTTCTTACAATTCGCCACTTTTTACTGCAAAAATCGCTCGTTTAGGTTCGCCGAGCTTTGCTCTGTTCGCGAACGTCCACTTCTCGTCTGATCTTCTTCACCTTCTGACCCAAGCGTTTATGCGAAAGCTACACAATTTAAACCAGCCTTGACTACAGTCACTTTTTTAGTCTTCTACATCTTCAATTGCATAATTTACGCCGTCTTTGATTGCTTGTTGAAATTCGTCAAGGTTCGTTCCGTTCGCTGCTTAATCTTCTCGCCTTAAACTACAGCTTGATTGACTTCATCATTGAAAAACGCGATTTTAGGACACTTCCACGAGCATCTTTTTCAACTATTCATTCTCCCCAATTGTCTCAGCGAGGCTGCAAAATGTTGAGTTTCTCAAGTTCAATCGTCAGTTGCGCTGGTTTCTGAGACAGTAAATGCGCAACTTTTGCCACATACAAAGCAGAAGCCTTTGAAAAATTGCCCTTTCTTCAATTGAACCTGAGAATGTTTGCCTATTTTTCTAGCTAAAAAAAATGGGCAACGTCTCGTTTTACTTTGTAAAAGTCTTCAAACTTTTAATGTTTTCAAAAAACTCCTGAATTCTGTCATGTCAATTTTTTCCAGACGTTTCGCAAGCATCTTCAGAGCTGAGGAACCTATTCAAAAGGTGGGTTGACTCAACCCCAGGATTTTTCGAAACCCCTTTTCCCCGACCAATTTTCCAGCTATTTCTGGTAAAATCCTCCCAAGCCGAAGAGAAAACGAACCCAAACTAAAACAGCGCATCAGCAACAAACAATTTAATTGCAAACTAGAAATAATTCCCGCTGCTTTTCTACGTGATATTTACGATGTGTTGGAGGCGATATGTGAAGACACTTTTTGGCTTTTCTGGGTCAAACACTGTTTTATTGCCTTAAAAAACGTAAAATTTCGGCCAATTTATCGTCAAAATCAATAAATTAACTAGTGTACGTTTGAAAATTCCTCCAAAATTGCCTGATGGTCACTCAACTTTGAAACTACTGGCGTTAATAGCACCGACTTTCCTCTACAAAAAGCAAAAAGCAAAAAATTGCCACCACTTTCAGCGTGCCCGCCACCAAGAAAAATAAATGTAAAGTTTACGGAAAAATTTGATATTTCTTCCAAACAGCAAAGAATTCCTATTCTATTTGTTTCAAGGTTCGCACCATATACAACCAAAGTTCTTTAAAAATCTCCAGTTAGACAATAGAAACTGACTAACTTTGCTCATTTTTCAAAGCTCGTTGAATATTTTTTTTTAGTCCCAAAATGTGAGAAAAATGAACCTTTTGATTGCAACAATCGTACGCAAAAGTTTTTTTACAATTCGCCACTTTTTACTGCAAAAATCGCTCGTTTAGGTTCGCCGAGCTTTGCTCTGTTCGCGAACGTCCACTTCTTTAGTATCCTTCTCGTCTAATCTTCTTCACCTTCTGACCCAAGCTTTTATGCGAAAGCTACACAATTTAAACCAGCCTTGACTACAGTCACTTTTTTAGTCTTCTACATCTTCAATTGCATAATTTACGCCGTCTTTGATTGCTTGTTGAAATTCGTCAAGGTTCGTTCCGTTCGCTGCTTAATCTTCTCGCCTTAAACTACAGCTTGATTGACTTCATCATTGAAAAACGCGATTTTAGGACACTTCCACGAGCATCTTTTTCAACTATTCATTCTCCCCAATTGTCTCAGCGAGGCTGCAAAATGTTGAGTTTCTCAAGTTCAATCGTCAGTTGCGCTGGTTTCTGAGACAGTAAATGCGCAACTTTTGCCACATACAAAGCAGAAGCCTTTGAAAAATTGCCCTTTCTTCAATTGAACCTGAGAATGTTTGCCTATTTTTCTAGCTAAAAAAAATGGGCAACGTCTCGTTTTACTTTGTAAAAGTCTTCAAACTTTTAATGTTTTCAAAAAACTCCTGAATTCTGTCATGTCAATTTTTTCCAGACGTTTCGCAAGCATCTTCAGAGCTGAGGAACCTATTCAAAAGGTGGGTTGACTCAACCCCAGGATTTTTCGAAACCCCTTTTCCCCGACCAATTTTCCAGCTATTTCTGGTAAAATCCTCCCAAGCCGAAGAGAAAACGAACCCAAACTAAAACAGCGCGTCAGCGACAAACCCTTTAATTGCAAACTAGAAATAATTCATCAGAAAAGGCGACTGTCCAAAAGTGGGCAAATAGAAAACGCCCTCAACTCCTGGATTGGCGCTGTGCCCAAATGGGGCGAGCCTCGGCTCATCCAGAACCTGGACGTTTGACTCGCCCAGGTCGTAGTTGGCCTCCAAAGCGTTGACGCCTTGAAGAATGGACTCGGTGTAGAGGTAGATGGATCGCCTGTGGTGGCAAAGGAACGTCTTCTGCTCATCTGAAACTGTGCTCAGTAGACCAGGGTGAAAAGGGCGCAAGAGCTGAAGAACTGACTAGTGCTTTGACATCCTGGCTGCTCAGTGCCAGCATTTGGATAGAAATCTACCGTCCCAATCGGGGGAAAGGCTGGCACGTAAATCCCCGCATGGTAAACGTCCACAAAGTCCGCAAAGTCGCCCACAAAGTTCAATTTGGTGCGATTGGTGATGTAGGGGTCGAAAACAGTCATTCTGGGCACTTTTGTCGCCAGTCTTCCGTTGAGGTATTTAGCCACCGAGGTGGCCACCTCCGCTCCAGCACAGTGGGCTAAAAATCCTCTGTCCAGAACTGATTGGGCTGCCAGGCGCACACTCACCAATAAATTGAGGATTCTGCACTTCGAAGCTGATGAGGATCTCCCCAACGTGCTGCCCAAGCGACTCGGCCAGGTCAAGGGCATCAGCAAACGTGATCGAGTGCTTCGTCCAGTCGATGTAGACGAAGAAAATGTTGGCAGGCCCTTCTTGGAAGAGGGCCGTTCTGAGGGCAAAATATCTGGAAAGCCATCTACTATTGTTCCTCAACCCCCAGAGATACTAACGGTTTAGTGGAGTCCCTGCTAGGATGTCCGTTGAACATCACATAAGTCTTGGCGGTAGGGTCCACCTGCTGTAGGACAAACTCGCGCTTTTCATGCGACACCAACATGCCAGTCTTGGGCTCCCGATAGAGGAAGACCTGCACCAGCGTCTCTTCTTTGGAGAGGAAATCCACGTTGGCAAACCTCATGGTCGCTTCACTGGATTTCTTCTTCTGCTCGTAGGCTGCGGAGGGGTTTTGGAGGGATTGGCTTTTCGGGCGCATTGAGGACTTACCGGCATCGGGGGCGCCTTCGTGCGCCCACCCGCAGCTCAGGAGGGCGCAAATCCACCACAAAATAGGAGACATGGTCGAGAAAACACCGAAAACAGGCGACCAAGTTGTGAGTGCACCAGGATTTTATCGATGGTTAGTCAAAGTGGGTTTTGTTTAAATACCCATTGTTTTCTCGGGTTTTATTGGCGGGCGAAATTGGTTTTCGTTTTAATCATTTTGCGGTTTTGTAAACGGAATCGGGGTTTGAAAGTGAGGAAGCTTCGCTTCCAGCTTTCGCCCTAGATTTCTGTTATTTTTTTGTACCTACCTATGCATGTTTGACGTTGCTAGACTTTTCAAGTTTTGAAGAGCACAATCGCTCAACTAACCTCGACAGGATCTTAATTGAACGACGCCCCATTTGAGGCGCTGGGTCAAGGTTTTCAGCGGACTATTGAGCCACAGATTTGCAAAAAAAACACCGGTGAGAAGCGGTTTGGTGCGTCCAAACCTGGAGGTTTTCTAAGAATCTCCATTAAACCTGGGATCGATTAGCGTCCCACCATTCCTTCTAGCGCGCAATTATAATTTTTCCGGCTTCTCCTATTAATGCTCCAAGCAATCGAGAACAAAACCCGCCTTTACTTTCGCTCTGTAATTGGATCAAAGGATGGCGCCCGAAAAAGCGGCCAAACATGTGGAAGCGTCCACGCTTCCACATGAAATTGATAAAACAATTTGGAATTTGAAGCAAAAAACCCATTATTTGGCAATTAGCCCCGACCAATAGCATTTAGCACACCAGACCTGTGTGTGTGTGTTTGTGTTTCATCATTAAAGCGATATCGCGTCCATAATCCATGGCAATTTCTCGCATTAATTGAAAACCCATTAAAAAAATCGGCCCATAAAGCGGAATTGCGTTATTCGGTGGCCGAAACAATGCGACATAAAAACATTCAATCAGCGTAAAACGCAGCATTGCTGGCACCGCTTCAGTGTAGCTGTGGCCATTCGAAGATCCAGAAAATGCATGTGAACAGCTACTTCATCGAGAGCCTGGTGCTGTGCTTTAGCTGTGGAGGCGACAATGGATATTTCGGGAATGGTAAAGCTGCGTTGGTTCATTTTCTTTAACAGTTCAGGATCGTTTCCAGGTGATTTAGGATCGGACGGGACGCTTTGTTCCATGGACACCCCTTCCAGGATGGTCATTGCAAAGCAGGTTCACTGGAGTGATCAGATTGGAGATCAGTGCGACTCTGGAGGGCCGATCCAGTACGATTTGCCGGCCATCCAGCAGATCATCCGGCTCCAGCTGCAAACTCCTCCACCTTCTTGCGGTAAGCAGTTTTCCAGCCAAAATTCTTCGATAGAACGTTACGCCCAAGCTTTGTCAGCATACAGCCTCACATTTCCAGTGCTTTCAATGTAAACCATCCAGAGATTTTGCACGTGAAGGCATGAAGTACCTCTCTTACCAACCTGGAGCTTTTTACGCTTAACGCGTTCACTTTTAACGGTTGATGTTGGCTCTTAGCGCTCTTGGATTGCGACGAGTTTTCCAGAATTTGTGAAGCTTTGGCAGGCGATTCGTTTTAAAGCTACAGATGGAGGAAGGCTTAATAGAAGTGGTTTTTTCAGCAGCCTGAAGTTCTTCAGCTCCTGTGCAAGCGCTGAATGCTTTGATTTCCATAAAACCTTCAGGATTTCTTCTTTGCACATTCTTCTAGCGGTTAAAATTGCTTAAAGTTAAATTTGCAGCTTCTCAAGTGATTGGTTTTGAAACTGCTGCTGGAAACGTCGCTTACCAAGGTGTGGCCATCTACGCTTAACAGGCACAGGCGCAACTTCAAGCACTTCGCTTCATTCCCAGATTCTTCGACTTGCACAAACTTTTCAGCTTCTTCGGGGCTCTGGAAAATTCAAGTCTTCCAAGTGTTTGGTTGCGAAGTGAAACCCTCTTAGACAATTTTACGATCTTCGGCTAACAGCCCAAGGTTTCGTGGCTTTTGGGGACTCTTTGGCCTGATCGAACTGCATGAAATTCTCCAGATTTCTTCCTTAAGGCACCGGCTAAATGACGCAAAAATTCCAAGTTCCTAGGTAGCTTGGAAGCTACTCATGTTCAAAGTTGCAGCCATTTTCACTCAACCGGTCATGGTTCAATGGCCCTGTAGCCTCTTGAGCAAGTTGGCTGCCAGAAAATTTCCCGATCTCTCCTTTGAACCTTCTTGGGCAAAATCGCCTCAAATTTTGAGTCCCAGCAATGCGCATAAAACCTCAAAAATTGGGCCCCCTTTCACGTTCCAGACCCAGGTTTGACAACTTCTGTTCGCTCTTGTACAACGCCTGGAACCCTGAGGGTTCCTTCTCTGGAGCTCTTTAACTCACTTGCCGTTTGAGGCGCACTCAACCCTCTAACATTACACTGCACTTCCAGATGCACCACCAACTAAACCTGATCCATCTTCTGTACACCTCAAACAGCTTTCAATGTTTCCAGGTAATACCACGCATTCAACACCAACTCTGCTTTAAAAATTTGAGGCCTCCAGACTAACTATGTGTTTTCCAGATGGGTCTCCTCAATTTCCGCCCCCTCTCGAGCCTCCAAGTAAGCGCCAGTGCTTTTTCCCTGCAGTTGTACCGTAAAGCCTAAACTTTTCCAGACAGCAATTGGACTCCTATTAATCCCCAGGAAGGCCCGCTTCCAGATGGAACTACACGGCCCGTAGACGCTCCTCAGCAGTCTTCAGGTGAGCTTTCCACATCAACCTAGAGAAAAACCTCAAGTTTATTGTTTCAGATCCCCAAAGAGCCGGTAAGTTCAACAGTTTTATGTTGATTAGTCCGGAACAGTTCATGATGTTTCAGGGCCCCAGTACTGGAACCCCTACCCAGCTACAGGTAAGCGCAGGTAGGCCCAAACATTTCGCTTGGTAACCAGTTTGTTCCAGCGCCTTCTTGGAGACCGCCGCTTGCTTGGCCTTTAGGTAAGTCACTGGAACTTACCAATTCTTCCAGTGGAAGCGCTAATTGCAACTTTCCAGCTGGACCTCAACCAGGGCATCCCAATGGGCAGGCGATGTGGCCAGGTAAGTCCGCGGGTAAGTTTCCCTGCAAGGTCTCGAGTGATTCAGTGATTTCAGCCCCACAAGCTCCACCTGGTCAGCCTCCTTATCCGCAGAACATCGTTCCTCGCCCAGGTAAGCATTTCCAATAATGGCGAGCTTTCAGAGAGGCTCTAGCAGGTTCTTTTGCAGCTCCCTACTGGATTCCGCTTCAATCCAGGCCAGCCTTTGATTGGTATCCTCTCGGTCCTTCCACAGTGCCTTCAGGTAAGCGTAAAATAGCATCGGGACTGTGGCCAAAGCTGCCTCTTTAGGTCCTCCAAGTTTTCCCGCAGAGAGCACAGACGATGCAAGCGAGAATGATCGCCCTTGGGGCCCAGGTAAGCAAAGTTGATTAAGGGAGTAAGGGGAATTAAGTGAGGTCTCCTGCAGAGCCCCAGTGGAACCCCAACCAAGCCAATCGACCAACTGATGGTAAGTTTGAGGGAGGTTGAATTAGACTGGAACAGTTTTCCAATGCGTGTTTCAGACCTCATCCCCTTGCCAGGACTCGATCCTTTTGCTCCGGATCAAGGCTCTGAAGCCCCACTGGAGCCCATGGGTGAGGAACATTGAACAACTTTCACTTTTGCTCTAGTTTTTGTGGTTTTCCAGTTGATCCCCCCATTGACTACAACCGCGTGACCATCAAGGAAGGTAAGCAACAGTAATTTTCCTTTGAACTGGCTGCAGTTAATGAATTTTGCAGCAGCATCAGAACCCGCACAGACTGGTAAGCGTCTTCGGTTCAAACCTGCGTAAATAACCCGCTTTGTTCCAGATGTTACAGAGACCGAGATAATCCAACCAGGTAAGTTGGGGATGGGAATCAGCAAGCTTTTTTTCAGCAGAACCTTTGGAGCCTGGTAAGTACTTTAGAGCTCTTATTGCATCTGCTGAATGTTGGCAGAGTCACCTCAGGATGCAGTGGCACCAAATCCAGGTGAATAACAGGCTTGGAGGGTTTGTGCCCTGTTCTAACCAAGCTCGTTTGCTCTTGATCTAGATCCAGAGCCGCAAAGTGTGGACCTGGTGACGATAACGCTGGATCAAAGTGAAGGGCTCATAAGCAGATCCATTGCGCAGAGCGCAGAAATAGGAGTAGAAGTAGACGCTTGGCTGCAAGAGCATCCAGACGGGCAAATCGTCATTGTGATCACCGCTGAGGAAACCAGCAAACCCACATGGTAAGCAAATCCATCTCCCCTGGCCTTTTTTGCTTCTTGAATGGTTTCAGGCCCCAGGAAGTGAAGGAGATCTTCTCCAGCCACGATCCAGAAAGCCCCACCTTGGTGCTAGTAGTCGATTGGTCGAAATATGTCTTCAGCGACTACACCGTCACTGTAGAGTACAGCTTTGAAGTCGCCAGGCAACTCAATGCGATGATTTTGCAGTTGCAAGTTCCACTAGAACGGCTTACTATTCTGGGTAGCTATTTATTGTGGGATTAGTTCTTCTGCTACAGCTACACTTTACAGCGTTTGGAACCAGCGCCCACATCGCTGGATACATCGGCAAACTAACTGAGAGCATGCAGGGCGCAACCGTCTACAGGATCATCGCCCTCAACCCCACCGGGCTCCTCTACACGGATGTTGTGGACGTGGAGCATCGCCTGAGCAGATCGGATGCTTCAACGGTGAGTTTTGCAAGGTTTTTAGGGCGTCTTTGGCAGGTTTTTTGCAGGTTCTGGTCATTCATACGGAAACTGTTCAAATCGGTTATGGTCAACCCATTGGGACCATTGACGTCTATGTAAATCAGCCGGAAAATGGGCAAATCTGGTGTGGAGGAGGTAACTATTCGGGTTTTTTAAAACTGTGTTGGTAAAGGTGTTTGTTTGGGCAGATGCCCAGTGCTCGCATGAAGCCGCCATCGAGATTTTCATCCGCGCCTACCGACTGCGCCCAGTGCTGGTCACCAACGATTTGACCAATGAGCTGCTTTGGGGCTTCCCCCTCGATGTTCCCAGTGGCGTCGCTGGCGTGTTCCACCTGCTGACCGATGAACAGGGCGTTCCCCAGTCTTGTAAGGTTTCAACCTTCGATCTTTCTACTTCTTATGGTGAGTTTCAGTGCCCCCAGAGTCCTGGCCAATGGAAACCGTGGAAAACTATCCATCGGTGGATAAATCGCAATTCCCCGGGCGCAATGTCGCCAACATGATACTGATGGGGCAAAGAACCGATGGGTCTGAGATAACGCTGGCAGTCGACCAACCCGATCCCAACCTGGGGGAGTTTTTGCTTGCAAACCCTTTGGGGGAGGTTTTCGTTATTCTGACCGAACAGCCCCGTGGCCAATGGTGAGGCCCAACAAACCTCCTTAAACCGCCAAATGCATTAAAGTTGGGGATTGCAGGGCGGAGCCCATGAAGCAGGCCCTGCTAGGCGCCCCCGGCCCGAAGTACGTGCTCATTGTTGATTGGTCGCCCCATGTGTATCCCTCCTATGTCTTCACTGTGAATGCCTTCTCCCACTTGGTGGCTGAGACCGTCTACGGTTTCCTGAAAATTAACAACGTTCCTCTGGGACTGACGGAGATGATTGGCAAGTTCTGCGGAGCAGGACGAATTTATTTTATTGCAGCTTCTGGTGTTTTCAGGCTTCTCCACCAGCGCCCATGTGGCTGGAATGGTCGGGGCGCTGGCAGCAGCCGATGGCCAGGAGCTGAGCAGGATAACTGGCTTGGATCCAGAGGCCCGCATGTGGGAGAACTCGCCGCAAGCGCAGCTCTCCCAGCTCCAGGCCACCATAGTCCAGGTCATCCACACAAACACCCGAAGCTTGGGCATCCTGCAACCGCTAGGACATTACGATATCTACATGTTCGGCGGCGCTGAGCAGCCCGATTGCATCCAGACCGGTAAAGAGACTGTGAACTGGAATGTCCCAATCAACTCTGAACTGCTTCCAGACAATGTGGATAGCTGCTCCCACTTGAAGGCCGTTGAGTACTACCTGGCGTCCATCTCCAGCCAAGTGCTGGCATATGAGGGAGAACTCCAAGGGCCCCAAGCCGTCCGAACTGGCGACTCCAACGTAGTGGTTGGCTTCAACTTGCTGCCGTCCTCCACCCAGAGCTCGCGGGTTTATGTGGTTGATCAACTCCTGCCGATTAATCAAGGTACAGCGGTGAAGTGTTAACGGATGGGAGAACCCAGTTGTTTCTTTGCCAGCCCCTCTGGAAATCGCCGATCTTCCCATGGTGGCCAACAATTGGCCCCCAGTTCAACTAGTGGAGGCCATATCTGGTATTGTACTTCACATCCAGCAGGTTCAAGGGGCTGCAGCCCAGGTTACCACGATTTACTTCAGCCGAAGACATCCGCAGCTGGTGGGGCTGTTGAGGAAACTGCTCAACTTGAGCGCGCCGACTCCCACCTACCTCATAGTGGATGGGGAGTATTTGAACGATGATGATTGGTACTGGAGGCGCTTTTACAAACGAGCGGGGGTAATTGAGGTTGTTCCAGGAGCCTGGCGCTAGCGGACAAGATCCTCAAAACAACCGGGGATCAAGCAGTGCTAATGAGGCTGGACTGGAGCATGTACAAGGCCCAAACCTATGCTGCTTCCGCCAGTTATTCCCGAGCAATTGGCAGCTTCGCTGCCCAGTTTCTGCTGGAAGTGGGCCTTCTGCCATCCAACCTGCATATAATTGGTGGGTAGTTTCTTTCGGGGTGGTTGCTGGAATGCTTGATGGAGTGTCTAGGGTTCTCCATTGGCGCCCACATTGCTGGGTTCATCGGCAAGCAGCTTCAAGGCGAGAATGGAGGCAACCAAGTGGCTAGAATCAGCGCTCTGGATCCGGCCAGGCCCATGTTCGAGCACCCGGAAGTGGCTGAGCAATCCAGGCTGGCGGCTCTCGATGCTCAGCACGTCGACGTGTATCACAGCAACATCCTGGTGCATGGATTCACCGCCCCCATTGGGTCCATTGACTACTACATCAATGGAGGCTTGGTGCAGCCTGGATGCAGTGGTATCTTTTATGGCTTGCGCTCTAGTGGTTCAAGGGAGGATAACTTGGGTGTTCCAGGTGGAGACCATCTTTGCGCCCACTACAGAGCCGTGCAGCTCTTCATCCTCTCCCTGGATATCCGGGACATGGCCATCGGAGTGAGGTACGAAGAGGTGGGCAAGCTGGTGTTTGTGGCCGATGCAACGTTCGCGGACTTTGGGTTCTTCTTCGAAAACGGCCAGCCAGGCGTTTACTATCTAAAAACGGAGCTGACGGAGCCCTACCTTAAGCCGGCGGAGCGAATTGCTGCGCAGACTGCCAATGAGATTGTGGCTCCTGAGGCGGGCGGCGTCGATTTGCAGGCAGACACCGGCGATCGCGCGCCTGCTGGATATATCGATGTCTATCAGATCAATGTCCCGACCGCAGTTGGTGAGTTACTCACTTAATAATCCCTGAGAGAATGGACTGTTCATAAAACAACTCGTTCCAGAAACGTTCACCGAAATCATACAAATCCAGGGGGAGCCACAGCAGACAGTAAACACTTACACTTTGCGCAGCAACTTCAACAGTTCGCGCAGCGCTTAGAGCCTATGAAAGTTTTAATGCAAGCGCCAATAAACAGCTATTAGGAATCATCTGGTTTCAATGACTAGGAGATTGCGGGTTTAATTGGCGAAAAAACTCACTTTATAACCAGTAACTAGTCACTTTATTGACTTTCTTTATCGTAGGTAAAACCTGTCATTCTTCAGACCATATATCCAACACTCACAGCCAAAAAATAACTTAGATGTACGCATCAAATATGTATTTTAACAGAAAATCGGAAAAACTGTTTATTTGCGCCGGTTTTGTCCCATGGCCAGCATGGTGGCAATGCGGATGAAGATGTTCAGAGTGTCCAAGTAGATGGAAATGGCGCTAGAATCAAACAAGGTGAATAAGCATCAAATCACCGATGAGGAAACAAAAAATTGCCAAACCCAAGCGCGTAAACCTGCCTAATTGGGGCTTATTTAATTATTTCGAGCGCTCGCCCATGCCCAACATCATAGCAATTCGGATAAATAAATTCAGAGTATCCAGATAAATCGAGATAGCACTAAAACAGGTTCACCTGCCACTAATTGCGGCCAAAAACCCAAAACAACTTACTTGTTTATCGGATCATAGGGCTTCACTCCTTGGTACTCGGGCTGGGCGGGATACCGTTCGGCTTGCACCACAATCCTCTGAGTGTCGTACAGCAAAAAGGCGGAGAACAGCAGCAAACCGCCATAGAGGGAGATCGAATAAAGACCGGCGCCTAAAACCCCCAATTTACGATCATCCAACCCCAGTAGGCCAATTAAACTCACCTAAAGCGGTAGTGGGAGGCAGAAACATCGAACCAATGGAACTGCAGAAAACAACGCCCAATCCCATAGCCAGAGGCCCTCCCATGTAGAGAAAAGTGTCATTCGGGGCGCATACCTGGAAGGCATTAAATGAATCAATGCTAAGGGCAATTTTTCGCTGGTTCTACAACTCACTGCAATCGTGCTGAGGCCCCCAACCACGCCAGCCGTATACCAAGCGGCCCTGATCAGGATGGGGCCCCCTAGGAAGCATARGGGCGCCACCATGGCCCCCATTACACCTGCGTGAAGCAGCCAAGCCATCTGTTTRGGGCCGAAGCCTGCAACATTCATGGAATTGTTRAATSGGTTCCGTTCATGRTAATGGTATAGGAAATCCGGCGCTCGCAGGCCTTTGTATTCACGCATRGAAAATCACAATACAAGACRCMGATTTTTCGTGGAGATTTTTCGCGAAATTGYCGTTTTCTACTAATTTTCAGCAAAAGTAGTARGTGAAAGTYAATTCCCATGAGATATTGCCCGAAAAAACTAGCCAAGTCGCGGGCAATTCGGCAACATGCTTTAACAGTATCGATTATTTTGGAGCGCGTAGCGCAAGTGGGGGCYCTCAGAGTTAAAAAGCACCGGATTTCCTGGACAATTACCGGATTTTATTACTAGAAAAGCCTGGTAGTACCTGGAGAGTATTCTAGGCTTTGAGCCAGCATTCCAGTGCCGATGATTGCCACCAAACTGATGGCAATGCCCTGGAAGAAATCGAGAATTCTATTAAATGAACCATCGTAAAAAAAACATAAATAAGTTATTGTCTGTATAAGGTGCGGCAAATAATCAATATCTGGACTTACCACAAACCCATTTCTGGCCACAATGTTCATGATGGCCGGGGATCTGAAGGCGGCAGCAGCGCTAGCAGCCGTAACAGCGATAGAACTGCCAAAGTAGAAATACGTGGACTTGATGCGGTCCCTCACATACTGCGGCCACATACTGAAGAAAAACCCGATAAATATCACAAACTAATCATTGATTAACCAGCACCTACTGGGATTGCTCTAAGGCACTGGCGCCAGAGCCAGAAGAAAGCCCGTAGTAGCACAGGGCTCCGATACCCAGAACAGAGCCTCCAGCGACAGCCCCTTTTCCGATATTAAAAGCTGTAACCAACAGCCGCAATTAGCAAAATCAGGCCCGCAAAGCATGGGTCGCAGACCTACCAGTGCCGCTTGAAGGGGCCATTGCCCGTTCTTTTAGAGTAGCCTTGCGTCTGGCCTCTCTGGCTACAGCATCTCGGCCCTCATTTGCATAGGTTCTAGCCACGGCACGAGAGGGCAACTGATTGATGAGGCTCCGTTGGAACACTGGGGCCCTGCAGAGCCTGCTGGCCAGCATTAGCGACATTTTTGAGCTGTGGAAAATTACTTTGAGGTTAGGAAAGTTGTGAAATCTCACTAAAATCCCCCTTTACGCCTGCAGCTTGCAGGGCTGTAACCGAACTTACTTTTGCAATGCGACGCTGATAATTTATGCTTCAGAGCTTTGTAAGGGTAGTTTTTAATCGTTTTTTGAACGTTTGCTGAGATGAAGGATGAAATTTGACGTCTATTCTTTTGGGTGAGTATGGCGTCAGCAACTGACACGGGAGGTGAGGCATCAGGTCGCACTCACTCTGGCTTATTGTCGCATCCCCTCAATCCAGTCTGAGTGAAGTTGAGGAATGTGGTTACGTTTTATCAATTGTTTACAAACAGATAAACTTTCCTTTTTTATGTGGGCCATGAAACAGTCTCCAAGGTCAGGGCAAAGTCCTTAAGTCTCCAATGTCCGTGAAAAATCTCTCATCACTGCTCCAAAGACACTTTAAGGGGGCTTTTTCTAGAAATGTGTCCTACGTGCAGGGGCAGGAGCCCGAGCCCAAAGTGCGGGAGTATTTCTATTTCATTGATCATCAGGGAATGGTAAGCCATTCAGCCCGAGCGTGTAGCCTTAAAATGGCATTCAGTTGTTCCTAGACGATTCGCGGATGAAAAACTTCACGTCCTGCTTCAAGGAAAAGAAGTTTCTGAGGTTCTTCTTCAATCAGCTCAGACAGAACAACACCGACAGGTACCCAGAATTTCCCTATCTGTCCATATGTGGCAAAGAGCGCAACTTTGTGCGATGCGACGATTTCCCCATAGTGTTCACTCATGTGGTGGAAAAGTCCAGTGAACACTTTCTGGCCCATAATCACGCGAATGATTTGCTGACTGTTAAGTTCCAGCCGGAGCGCATTTTTATGCTACCGGAAACGGGGCGAGTGTACCATCCAGCCCCCGATAGGGCTGGATCCGTAGGGCTGCTGCGTTCCAAACTGGCAATAGAATTCAGCAGCAAATTCGCTTTTGCCCATGGAGAATCCAAGCCCCCGACCCAATTCACTTTCAATGGTGTTCCGTATAATTTGCAAGCGGACTGGTACTATGCAGCCATCAAAGACCGGGAAATTTAGTATCAGCTTATTTATTTTTGTAAAACAGTGTAACAAGTCAAAAATATACATATTAAAAGCAACTAGCCAATATTGCGCATTGCGCTGTAAATAGATATTTGTTCTGTGTGCCTTAACCAACTATTCCAAGCAAAGTCGCCCCTTTGAGGCACTCTGTGTAATCATCTACAATTAGAAACATTCCTAACAAGGTCGGGGTGGGAAACTTAAGTACTGTCCTCTACTCCGTTATCCAGGGGCGGAGTGATGGGCCTTTCCAGCGGTTTGAAGCGCCGCGGTAAAACCCATGAGTACCCGGCTTTGCCACGTTGGCCCTTTTCCTGCAAAAAAGCCATCATGTTCTCCTTCTTGTGCAGCTCGGGGTTGAACGGCTCAAAAGCTATATAGTGTTTGTCTTCAGTTGGCGGACTATCATAAAGATGCTTCTTGTTCAGTTCCACTAGTTCCTGAGCTCGTGCGGAAAATGCTTCTTTGTTTTTGAGTAATCTGAAACAAGGAAGGTGAGAAGTTAAACAACTTTAAGGTGTTTGTTCAAAGATTCGTGAAAAACCCTTACAATTCACTGGCTTCCTTGTTAATACTGTGCTTTAAGCTGGCTTCCACATTAATAAAAATCCACTGGATGTACTTGAGAACCTGCCACAAGTGTTGTTCGTTTTTGTTCCAAGTCGGGAACGCGCCCGATAGGTTCAGCTCGTTTGTCTCCGGGTTTATCACAGGATGTAACAGTTTTGAATGGAACAGGACTTTCTGCAACAGAAAATCGCGACAAAATAAGCCGTTTGGAGCGCATTTTGCGCACTCTTACCGGGTGTTCGCAATCAGGAAAAGAATCATCTAAAAATAGTGTAAATCTAAAAACACCGTCTTTGTAAGGCCCGCTTCTGGCGAAAATCACACCAAACCACACTGAAATTCACAGATTATTAGCTACTGGAGGCTTTCAGACAGCGCTTGCACTTACTAAGGGGGTTTTCTCTGGACGGAATCACGTATACTCCTTGAATGTCTTCAGTTTGGATCATTTTGCTGAAAAACCAACACTCAGCAGAGGTTTTCGCTGCTTGCGTTTACTTACTATTCGGCCAAAATGATGTACTCTTGGCGATAGATCTTGAAAATGTTGTTAAGATCCTCATTTTGCCGGCCAAACAGGTTGTCTCGGTCAGTTTCGGGCGGGATTACGCGTCTTAATGAGCCCTGCCTGGCAAAAGATCCTCCTGGCTCACTCTGATGAAACACAACGGTTTAAACCCACACACAATGAGAAGCTACGTGAACGAATGATGTACATCCAATCAAAAAAAGCTTGCCAAACTCAAATGGCAAATCCGGACTGGGGCAAACGATTTCAACAGTTTTCAAAAAACGCCACAAAACCCCCCGTGGGCCCTTTACGAATCCGCTTGCAAAGAAAATACAGCAACAGCTGCGTGCATGAATGCTAACTGCACCCGCCCATGGCAGCAAAGAATTAACGAATCAGACTTTCACTACGAGCGTTTGGCATCAATCCAACTAAGAGCGTTTTACCTATGAAGGCCTGAGCCCCCAAAGCCACTTACCTTAGACGAGTCATTCTTCGCTGGCGAAAACATGCTGGAAAAACAAAACCAAAAGCCTACAGCTCGTTTCCGTGTAAAACATAATCGTTAACGGTGCTTGTCTGCTGTTATCGCCGGATAACAAGGATAATTAGGACGATTTTATCTCCCAACCCACATACTTTCACTAAACACACAGCCTCACTTTTCATCATTTTAATGTTGTTTGGCAGCATCAATCAGCTGTTGAGTAGAGATGGGCTCGACCCAGGCTCAATGAATGCTGGACTTTTATCACCTAATTTAGCTGAAATTGGGGGCGCTTTTGTAAAAAGGGGCTGTTTACTAAGGGTTTGAATAAGATTGAAGTTGAATTAGGCGCCGCCCTGACGTTGCCTAGGCGAGCCACGCGGCCACGTTGGCCAAATTTGAGTCAAAGCCAGGAAACTGCCCCATACAAAGCAGGCCCGAAGGGAAATTTCTGCGAAATTTTATGCAATAGTTGGTATTTGGGGGAATAGAAAAACTTCTAGTTAATTCCCGGTTTGTAAACTATTCAATTCCGGGGGCCCAGTTACCGTTAAACCAATGATCAGTTAGAAAAGTCCGGCGAGCCTTGGCAACTGTGTAGGCTAAACTTGCTGACTTGCTGTCATTGTCAAGACCTAACCTATATAAACAAACGAGAGCAAAATGCCCCCTTTCAGCGTCTTCAAGCCCCGTTTGTGCGTGATTTTGCTGGTTATACAGCACGCTGTCCACGTTAAACCTTCGAACGTATCCGGCAATAACAGCCCAGACTGCCCGAGTGAGAAAGTCAACAAATATTCCAAAGGTAAGGCCCAGGGGGCCCCAGCCGGACCTCCCCCTCACTTGGGTGCTTTCAGAAGCAAACAGCAAGTATCTGAAGTATCTGAACCTGATTGCGGACGCCCAGCGCGACTACAAGCCCTGCAACCGGGACCGATGTGGCTGCCATGCCTCCGTTATCTCGCAGGACCTGAAAATGTTCAAGGAAAAGGGGATTTCCGCCAGTAGCATCCAGTCGGTGAAGGCAAAGCAAGTGTGTTTCCATGCCAGCTTGGTGTGTTCTAATTGGTTGTTTGCAGGGGCACGAAATACCAAGTAATCAACCACAAAGTGTATCGCGAGCAAAACTGCATGTTTCCCAGCAGGTGCTCGGGCATCGAGCACTTTCTACTCGAAGCTGCGCCAGGGCTGCCAGACCTGGAGCTCATTGTGAGTGGAATGTGGAAAAACTCTTACCTTGCAGCTGGTTTACGCCCGCACTTTTGCAGATCAACACTAGGGATTGGCCGCAAATCCCCAAAAACTACGGCTTTTTCGGTCCAGTGTTTTCCTTCAGCAAAACGAGCGAGTACAACGACATCATGTACCCGGCCTGGGCCTTCTGGGAAGGGGGCCCGGCCATCAGCCTCTACCCAAGGGGAATTGGTAAATTCGCCCTGAAAGAAGAAAGAAAACAGCGTGGTAAAGCGCGTCGATTTTTTTAGGACGTTGGGATGTGCACAGGAAGGAACTGGGAAAGCTGGGCAACTCGTCCAAGTGGGAGGAAAAAATCCCCAAAGCCTTCTTCAGAGGGTCCAGAACTTGCTCGGAACGGGACGCTTTGATCTTGCTATCCCGCGAGAAGCCGGAACTGGCGGACGCCCAGTACACAAAGAATCAGGCATGGAAGTCAGAGGCGGTAAGTTTGCAAAGCCACATTAAGTTTATTAATTCTACAATAGAAAAATGCCCCCGACAGTAATTACAAACGCATTGTAATCGGGCGATGGTTTTTCTAAGGAAAAAAAATCGCCCAGCTACCACAAACATTCACACAAATGCGGCAAATTGCTAGCTTAAAACTATGAAAAATCGACTGAAAGTCTGGGAATAAGAAATATCACATAATAATTTGTGGCGTGCGTACGGAATCTCCGATATTTTTGTGCGGCAGCACTTGGCCCCCATTTATATACGTTTCGTCCTTTACAATTACATCCTCGCCCAGTACGGTAATGCCCTCCATTCTCACCCATTGGCCCACGCTGCATCGCCAGCCAATTATGCAACTTTCCAGCCAGGTATTGGAGCGGATGGTTGCGCCCCTTAAAACTGTCGATCTCTTGATGCAAACGCCGTCTTCAATGGTCACGCCTGGGCCTATGGTTACGTTGGGCCCGATTTGGCAACTTTTGCCGATCTTAGCTGTGGGATCCACCAGGACGTTGCCTGCAAAACACGGGAATTATTGAATTAAAATATGGATCAGTTTGCTGACAAATCACTAAAAGCCACGCGCTGTTTTTCTCTTAATCTACGCTGACGCGGCATTTGCCTAGGGATATATGAATCGTTCGCCTACCCACAACTCCCGGGCCATTGTACAAGCGATCAGGTTCATTGGTTCTGAGATGTTTCAGGTACATGCACATGCCAGTGAGGAAGTCCTTAGGCTGGCCCACGTCCATCCAAAAGCCGCCCAACTCGAAAGCGAACAGTTCATTGTCCTGAGCCATGTTGGGAAAAACCTCCTTTTCAATCGACGTCGGTCGCAATTCGATGCGCTTGATCACGCTGGGATTCAACACGTACAATCCAGCGTTGATTTTATTTGAAATGAACTCCTGGGGCTTTTCCACGAAGCTCCCAATGCACTTGTTGTCGTCGTAAACCACCACCCCGTACTTGGACGGTTCCTCCACTTTGGTCACCACAATGGTACCTTCTTTGCCATGGCTCTTGTGGAAATCGATCAGTTTCTTAAAAGGAAAGTCGCAAATTATGTCCGAGTTCAGGACAAAGAAGGGCTTGTCGCTCTTCGTCAGGTGTTCGCCTGCCAGCGCAATCGGGCCGGCAGTACCAAGGGGCTCGACCTCGTGCGAGAAAATCATCTTCACCCCCAACTTTTTCGCTTCTTCTGCTAACTCCTGCTCCATTTGCTCCGCCCGGTAGGACACGGCGAGGATCACCTCGGTCACCCCAACTTTCACCAAAGCTTCCACCTGATGCAGCAGAATCGGCTTGTTGGCGAACTCCACCAGGGGCTTGGGGCGGCTTAGAGTGAGCGGTCTCAGTCGAGTCCCGTAGCCCCCCACTAGGATCAACGCCCTCATTCCGCCCTCGTCTTGTTGCCCCATTTTCTCACTCACTATGTGGCGCCTTCAGTTAAATTGGTGACTAACAGCTATCAAGCACTGTAATTACGTGGATAACTAGCGGAATTGATAAGGATTGCTAATGTTTTTATGCCAGCACAGCAACATTTGAGGTTAAAGCGGTTGCTTTGTGTGACTACTGGCTGCGCCCATGATTAATTTGCTGGATTATTGCATAGAGTTTGTTTGTTTTTGAGCAAAATTGAGAAAAAACAAGGTTTTGTTGCTAAAGTTTTGACGTTCACTATTTGAGTTTTTGAGTGGAGACGTCACTGATGACAAGGCAAGATCAGTGTCGTTCTGCAGGCAACCCACTATACGGGTGGACGTATACCTGTTCTTGCCCAACCCGCGCGTTTGCTCTTTCAAGATATACTGGGTGTTTGGTAAATGGGTGCCGCCCCTGCAAAATGTTATACAGTGTGTTTTGCGCTATTTCAAGTGCAGAGTGTTTTTTTCTTTATTTCAGGACACTCTTCATGTGGCGCCAGCCCAAGAAGTCTCCTTCGAAGAACACTGCCAGTACAAGTACCTATTCAACTTCCGCGGAGTGGCTGCAAGTTTTCGCCTCAAACACATTCTCCTTTGTAAATCTGTGGTGTTTCACGTGGGTAATGAGTGGCAGGAGTTCTTCTATCCAGCTTTGAAGCCCTGGATTCATTACATTCCAGTCGATTCCAGCGCTTCCAAGGAGCAATTGCAGGAGCTGATTGAGTTTGCTTCGCACCATGACGATGTGGTTAGGGAAATAGCGGAGAATGGCTACAAAATGATCTGGAACCATCTGCGAATGAAGGACGTTTCGTGCTACTGGCGGAAGCTGCTGAAGAAGTACGCAAGTCTGCAGACTTTTAAGCCATCAAGGGATGAAATGCTGGTGGAAATTAAGGGGTAGATTGTCAAGGTGTTATTTTCTCTTGGTTTATTTCTTGCATTTCCTGGGTGTGTTTATCAGTGGGCTTTAGCCTGGATCAATTCAGTTGTTCCTGCTGGTTCTAAAAATCCACACATTTGGCCATTGGAGTCAAACCAAGATCCTGGATTGTTCCAAATCGACTGTTTTGGTTTGCTGCATTCTGCTTCCAATGAAGGAGGAAAAGTTACATTTTCTAGTGGTTTTTTCCAGTTAAGGTTTGGGGTAGTTGATTTTTCATCATTTTCTTCCATTTCTGCTCCTTTTAGCAGATGAATCTACTAAATAATGACAATAACAATATCTACTACAATGTGTCTAAATAAGTGACAATAAAATCTAGTTGTAAGCGTATATTTACTGTACAGTGTGTCCGCAAATGAGGCCAAAGGTTTTTGCAACACTCTGAGTGGTAAATCTGTTTGTTATTATGTAAAAAGCCGCTAGTCCTGGTATATTGGAAACTAAGCGATTGGTGGGCGATATTTATAATAGAGACAAAAGTCCGCTTGTTGGTCAAAGTGTAGCAGCCGAAATGTAAAGGCCAGTTTTCGGACAGTCTGTATATGAATAGAGCAAATAATTCCCGGTAAAATGCAGCTGTTTTCAACTGGGGGAATCATTCGCCTATTCTGTTATATTAGTCGTACTAAGTTAAGAATATTCCTTGATTGATAGCCATTGATTTAGGCCTATTTTAAGCGAATCTCACTGTTTTTAATAAAAAATAAAGAAAATACAAAAAATGGTTGTCGAGTCTCCAAAACGCGACAAACCTGATGAAAGAACAACGCCGCTTCTGTATTTGTGAACTGTTATATATTTTTCATAAAACCTCGCTTTTCTGCCTGCTAAACGCCAAGAAAGCCAGGAAAGAACAGCGCAGCTTCTGTATTTGTAAATTGTTATATATTCTTTTATAAAACCTCACTATTGTTTAGTTGGCTAAACGCGA